AAAGCTGAAAACTCGTCAAGGAACAGAACTGCTCATTCAGTCTGACAATGACACTGTTATTAATGATTGGTTTAAAGTTCTTAGTAGTACAATCAATAATCAGGTATGTCTTTAACTTGGGTAAAATTTTTACTTCAGAGCTGTTTTTCTTTTTGTTTTTTTAATTGCTTATTTTATATCCACATTGCAATCTATATGTGAAAAGACACTTTATATATGCTTTGAAAGAGATGGAAAAAACGATGGTCAATTTAGCAGCACCCAGGGGCTGGTGAATGATTTAACATTCTAACTTATGTGATATTTGCTACCAGTGGATTTGAAATAATGTTCACATCAGGCATTGGCTGAAAAGAAATAGTTGAGAAAGAAAGGGTAAATATGGTGGTTAGTACATAGTATTTATTCAGTAACTGAGTGAGTTGGAAATAATACTATTTGGTGAAAGAGGAGGTCAGAGGTGAACTTGTGAAATGAATGAAGCTGTAGTCTCTTCATTCCCATTTTTTCTTTTCTAGTGAGATTCCCTAGTGTTTCTGCCCCTCTCCTCCAAGCTTTTCAGTATCCTTGTGTTGCTGGTGTATGTCTTCTTCTTTATGTAAAACAACCAAAGAGATTCCCAAGTTTATATTCTGCAGGTATATTAGTAATCATAGCTCACTGCAGCCTTGAACTCCTGGTCTCAAGCAATCCTCCCTTTCAGCCTCCCAAGTAACTGGGACTACAGGTGTGTGCCACCATGCCTGGCTCACACTTTTTTATACTCTGTATTCTCCTTTCACTTTTCACCATATGAGGACATGGCTCTTCATTGAGGATCATATTATATTAATGACAGAAATGAAAGATAATACTTAGGGGAAGTAAAAGAGAACTTTACCTGTTTAGCAAATTAGTTATGAAGCTATATATAAATTCTTCCTTTGGAGTTTGTAATATCTCATGATATTTCTGAATCTTGTCCTTTCTTTTCCATTTATTCCTGAAACCATGACGGCAGACCTTATATCTTCATACCAAGATAAGAGTAACCTCCTAAACAGTTTTTTTCTTATTTAATCTCACCTATCACTGATTCATTGTTAATGCCGTTACCATGTGAAACTTTCTAATGCCAATTTTCTAATCCCTACTGCACAGAAAGCTGTGATTCATTAAAATTCAACAGTATAGGCCCAGTCTATCTTTTCAAATTGTACCTTCTATTTTACCCAGTATGGACTTTCCGCTCTAGTCACAGTAATATATTCACTGTCTCTTGAAAGCAAGTATGCTTGCATTCATTTAACAAATATATGAATGCCTTATGCACTTGGGGACATAGCACACAGATGCTGCACTTTCCTAGGCTGAGGTTATAGTCAAAGACAGATAACAGTTAATATAATGAAATGTGATGAGTGTTACGGCAGGGGTGTACAACATTCTATAAAAACACCGATTAAGTAAGGGTGAACCTAGTGTATTAGTTACGGAAAGTGGGTTTTTGTTTTGTTTATTTAATTGAGGCCTATAGGCTCAGGGAATAAGCCAAGTGAAGAGAGATGATTTTATATGTGTGTGTGTGGTTTATTTTTTTAATTATTTTTATTTTTTTTGAGACAGTCTCACTCTGTCACCTAGGCTAGAGTGCAGTGGCGTGATCTCAGCTTACTGCAACCTCCACCTCCTGGGTTCAAGCCTGCCTCAGCCTCCCAAGCACCTGGGATAACAGGCGCCCACCACCACACCTGGGTAATTTTTTGTATTTTTAGTAGAGACAGGGTTTCACCATGTTGGCCAGGCTGGTCTCGAACTCATGACCTCGAGTGATCTGCCCACCTTGGCCTCCCAAAATGCTGGGATTATAGGCGTGAGCCACTGCACCTGGCCTATAGTTTTGATTAAAAATTTTTAAAATACATACTGTTTCCAAAGTGTCAGAAGATATCAAGGACTAAGTGTGGCAAGAAGTGCAAGACCTTTGCGGGAAAATTACAAATCTTTATTGAGAAACGCTGAAGAAAACCTAATTAAATGAGAAGTATATCCTGTTCATGCATTAAAAGATTCAAAAATGCAAAGATATAATTTTCTTCCAAATGATTTATAGATTTGAGATACTTGAATTTCATTTAAAATCCCGGTAGTCTCTCTGGTAGAATTTGACAAGCTTATTCTAAAATTTATGTAGAAATGCAGAGCACTAAGAATACCTAAGACAGTCTTGAAGAAGAAAGAAAAAGGACTTGCTCTATCATATGTCAAGTCTTTAAAAAGCCATATTAATTATTAAATATGGTATCCGTAAAGGAATAGGCATACATACCTGTGAAACAGAATAAAGAACCTAGAAACAGACTTACATATTGTGGACACTTTATGCCAGATAGAGCACTGTAGAGGAAGTAAATGGTGCTGGTGCAGCTGGGAACCCAAGAAAAAACTGGAACTCTTCCTTACACCATCTACAAAAATTAATTCCAGGTGGAGTAAAGATCTCCATGTGAAGGCAGAACAAAGTTTTTTTTAGCTTTGAGAAGTCAGTTCTTTATTCTGTACAAGTGACCTCAGTTAGGTTATAGATGAGCTCTAGAATTGCTTTTTTTTTTTTTGGTGACAGAGCCTTGCTGTCGCCCAGGCTGGAGTGCAATGGCATGATCTCAGCTCACTGCAACCTCCACCTCCCAAGTTCAAGTGATTCTCCTGCCTCAGCCTCCCAAGTAGCTGGGATTACAGGCACATGCCACCACACTCAGCTAATTTTTGTATTTTTAGTAGAGGTGGGGTTTCAATATGTTGGCCAGGCTGGTCTCAAATTCCTGACCTCAGGTGATCCGACCACCTTGGCATCCCAAAGTGCTGGAATTACAAGTGTGAGCCACCGGGCCTGGCCACTCTAGGATTTCTTTCAGTTGACATCCATGTATCTGGAGTATGAGTCTTGTCCTGTTGTTAACAGTGTAATACTCTTGTCAGGTCCATGTGTAGAAGTCTTATACTGTAGTCACAGAATGTAGCTCTATTGTGTTTTTCAGCATAGATTATAGCCTCACCTTTTAAGTATTAGTGTCACTAATATGCAGTTGATTAAAATAAGGCAAGATAGCTTCATTATCAGTGTAAACTTACTATCCTGTGAATTTTCAACAATAATTTCTTTTTTTTTTGAAATCAAAATTAATGCCATCTAAAGAGAAAAAGGTATTTATCAAATATGTAAGTTGTACATACTGTATACTAATTCGTTTCCTAAAATTGTTTGGAAGAGTCATTTACTAATCATTGTGAGAATTATGCTATTCAAACGGTAGTTATTCTAGAAGTATAATATGTGTTTGGGAAATATCTAATCAATAGGCAGTAGAAACTGATGAAGGAATTGAGGAGGAGATACCGGATTCTCCAGGAATAGAAAAGCATGATAAAGAAAAGGAACAGAAGGATCCTAAAAAACTTCGTTGTAAGTTGTCCTTTCCCTATTTTGCTAAGGATTTGAGCTTATTCTCTTAGCTTTTCAAATGTTTTAAATATATACATAAAAGCTGAATGGAATGTCCAATGTTACAAAAAAGTTATGCAACTAACCAGTTGCAGTCTCAGTGTGTCAGTGCTCTTTCTTGTTAACTCGTTGTTGTCCTTTTTCAGCCTCATAGTATGCATCCTATGGCATCATATTAATTTTAAGATACTGTGCTACTTTCAGAGAAGGAATATAGCACATTTTTGTTGAGGCCTCTAGAAAAGTGAACTTTATTGATTTAAAAATACATGCTTACTATTTAAGATTCTATATGGAATCTTATACTTTAAGAAGTCAAAAGTCATGGGATATTTACTGTGATTTCCTTCTGGACACCAGGCATCCATCTGTCTCTGGACTAGGATATATCTGTGCATGTAAACAGATGCAAGCATTCCTATCTTCAGATCTTACTACAGAAAGGAGCATAGCGAAAGCCAGCAGCTTTAAGAAAAGCATTTTCTAATGTTGGCCTCTTATGAATTACATTGCTTAATTAGGCCATTAGCTGTGACTTGGTACTTTGTTTAGTCTATTTTAACAAATCCACATGTTTAACTGAGAACTTTCTGGCCTTCATATTAACTGAATGATTAGAAAATCAGTTCTGTTTTTCTGTATTTCTAATGAAGTTTCGGCCTATTACTGACATTGTCAACACGTAGCAATTTAACATAAAAATGTGATTATTTTTTATTCTATATTATAGATTCTTTGTGCTCTCAGCTTTCCCCAATAGAATTATTTTCAAGAAATATACCTTTTGAATTTTTGTCACTATAACCGAAAAAGAAATTAGGACTAAAGGCAATAAAAGACATTTCCCAGGCGGTTCCATTCTTAGCTCAGAGTACAAATAATTACACTTAAAGTTAGCTTAAAGTACAAGTATAATAGTTATGATGGTTATATGTCTATATTTATATCTCTGTATATCTTATGTGTATCTGCAGTTTTCTTGTTCAGTAAAGATAGGGATTTTTTTGTTATGTGTTTTATGTATTTTTACTTTTTAATGGTCATTTTACGTTCTTAAACTGATGTAGAATCAGTAAAGATAAGTAGTTAATCATTTATGAAATAATATGTTAGAGTAAATTAGGGATGTCTTGGCAGATATACCATAGAAGGTACAGTTGTCATGTTTTTAGTGATAAAAACGAAACGTTTGTTTGGTGTATAACTTTGAAATGGGGTCTGTGTTAATGTAATTCTTCACATCTTATCCTTAAACCACATTAAGCTGAAGTAACTGAACTGTACTATGTGATCTTGACATATGAGGTTAATTTATTTTTGCATGCTAGCTGGAAAAACTTTTGTCAAAAACCTTTATTTTTACAAATGCTTATTACCTGTCTTTTTGTGTTAAGCCTTAAAAGTATCTACGATAGATTCTTCAGAACAGAAAAAAACCAAGAAAAACTTAAAGAAGTTTCTCACACGACGCCCCACTTTGCAAGCTGTTCGTGAAAAAGGTTATATTAAAGGTTGGTAGGAGAAGTATTGTTGATAATAATGAATGTTGGCCTACATCAGAAATAAGATGTTTCAAATTAAAAACAAATCTTTTTCAAACAGTAAGAATGTTATTTATTCAAGTATTCAGATGCAATGATTAAAAGACATTTAAGTAATTAAAATAGATTTTTTTTAAAGTTTAATTAAAGCATTGGACAGACATAACAAGCTAAACTTTTAGAAAGCCTGTTTTAGGGGAACTATGTGAATGTGATTGGTGGCAGGTTTTAGAAATTGTGACAGTGGAAAGTTTAGTTTTGAGATGTAAAGATCACAAGAAATAGGAAATTTTGAATAAACTATCACTAACAGCAGAAAGAAGAAAAATGAATTAATTTTTACCTTTGGTTGTCATTTAAGATCATTTAAAAATTAGCATTAGGTGGTTTTTTTTTTCTGATTTATATACTTATTTATAAGCACCATAATGGACTAACAGAATCTTTTTTTATAGAAAAGTAGTCTTTAAAAATTACATTATTTGTGTATGCTTTTAGTTCTTACAAGCATGTTTAATTGCAGAGGTGAATTTTTCTAATATATGACTTAAAACAATGACATTTATTCATAAAAATAAAGGTAAAATAATAGTCTATAATGTATATGTCTGTCTCTGATTTAAATTATGAAGTTTCTTATAAAGACCGTCTGTTTGTGAAGCACCTGCTTTGCATTAAAATATGCAAACAAGTTTTTTAAGAAAGTATTTAAGGCCAGGTGCAGTGGCTCACATCTATAATCCCCTGACTTTGGGAAGCAGGAGGATCATTTGAGTCCAGGAACTCAAGACCAGACTGGGTAACGTAGGGAGTCCCACTCTCTACAAAAAATTAGCTGGGTGTGGTGACACATACCTATAGTCCTAGCTACTTGGAAGGCTGTGTGGGAGGATCACTTGAACACAGGAATTAGAGGCTGCAGTGCAGCCATGATTGCACCACTGTACTCCAGCCTGGGTGACAGAGCAAGACTTTGTCTAAAAAAAGGTATTTAAGACTTCTAGGAAGAGTCTAGCTAATTAAGTAATTCAAATTAGTAACTTCAAGAGTTATAGATCACAGGTATTCTCAAATAAAGCATATGAATTAGCATGATGAGTTTAGAGTCTTGCAAAAACAAAAAAGACCTGGCAAATAAATGAATGAAAACTGCTGCTAATTTGTTCACCATGCCTTTTGCCTGAGAAATACAAACTGTTGCCACTTTATGGCCTTACTCATCATTTCAAATTTTTTGTTTTCCTGAATGTTTACTGCTAATATGGAATTTCAAAACTGTCAGGTTGAAAGATTCATAGAAGAGTCTTTGAAATACATTTTGTAGGGCCAGCTTTAGCTCAGCAGTTACTTCGACAATGCTTTCCTTGGTGGAGAAATACATTTTGTGAAATCAAATGTTGGTATGTGATGAGTGGTTAGATGCTTATTTTAATAGTTTTAAAAGTAATCGAGTATTTACTAAGTGCTAGGCATGAGCCTAGGTGTTATCAATACCTGTTGGTGTTTGGGAACTACATGGTTACATGGTCCTTCCCCTCATGAAACTTATGCTCAAGTGGGAGGTAGACAAGATAATGTGAAATAGTGACAAATGCTATGAATCTAACATAGTAGTAAACTAGGATGTGACTAGAATTGGTTTCTCTTAGGTAAGGATGGTCAGAGGGGTTATTTAAGGATGTGACTTTTGGCTGAGACCTGGAGTGAAGAAGGAGCCACGTTGGGTGGAAAATTGCTTTCTGCAGAAGCAATAGAAAGTACAAGGTTCTCAGGCAAGAGTGAGTGAGGGTCTTTATGAAGTTTAAAAACGAATTGTTTGATGTGAAATTGAAGAAGTAGGCAAAATGCATATTCCATAAGGCATAGGGCCCTCTTAAACAATATCTGGTTACACTGGATGTTTCTGTTGCACTCTGAATGGTTAGCCATTTCATGAACTGAATTTCAGCAAGATGATTGACTTTTTAAAAATAAATCTTTTTCAGATCAGGTATTTGGATCCAATCTTGCTAATCTGTGTCAGAGAGAGAATGGCACAGTACCAAAGTTTGTGAAGTTGTGTATTGAACACGTTGAAGAACATGGTAAGAGAAGGATTTTGATTTTTTTTTTTTTTTAAGCCAACCAACTTCTTGTTTTGCCATCAAAATTTCTAGAATTTTTATAATTTTGAGTGATGCAACCAAAATTTCCTTATAGTCCTAAGATATTAAGAAAATCATTTTGTTTGCAAAACACTTACATGTTTACCACTGTTTCAAATTAAGACCTCTCCAGGCATCTATTGAATGTTTGGTACTCACAGTTAAGTACATGGTGTTCTTTGAAGCTATTTCATTTAAGCATTTGCTTAAAATGAGGAAGATACTGATTGTGAAATTGAGTTTATTTTTAAGAAATAATTTGACATTATATAAGATCTGAGAAGATTGTGTTTACTTACTAAGTTTCTTCTGTTCTAAAAATCAGATGACATTATAAACTGTTAAATCAACCACAGTTGTCTCATGAGATAAATATTTTTTACATCATTTTCTGTAAAATATGACAAACTAATTTCTGTTGTTAATTTAAACATGGCTATAATATTTATACTAGTTTCATATAAATTATCAGTATATTGATTGTAATAGCATTAACTTATATCTGTATATCATGAAAAACATTTTGTACAATTAAAACACGTAATGTAATTTGTAATTTCTGCCAGTTGCAAGATCTTCCTGTCTCATTGACTTTTCTTGTCAGCATGGCAATAGAGATACCACATTATTGTCTTTATTTGAAGCTAAATGAGTAGTATATTTGATAATGTGCTTTAGTAAGTTTGTACACCATTATCATTTAATGAATACCTGAAATTTCGGGGCTTAATTGTGTGAATTTCAGATGATTCTGTTCCACATATAAAATAAAATAATAAATTATAGCAAATTACTTTTGTTTTTATAGAACCATTAGTTTAGTTGTTAGCTTACATTGTTTACTTATTACAAGCACTTAATATGACAGACACTTTCAATAAACTTTTTATAATATGTGCGTTTATATTATAAAATGGTGTGCAAAATATGCATGGGCTGATTTTACCTACTGGCTTCCTTTACTTTTTGAATTATCCCTACTTGTTTGCAGAAATTTATTTGAAATTGTTAGTGTTTTAAGATTTAATGAAACAACTTCCTTGAGCTGATTCACACTCTATATGATGAGCAGAGTAGAGTTACTGCTGTTTATTAAAAAGAATTCAGAGTGAATCTCCATCTCCCTTCCTTGCCAAGCATCTACCAGAAGTCATTTAAAGAAAAAGAATATTTGTCCATTTGATTTTAGGTTGATGCTAATGAATAAGAATTCTGACACATGCAGACATGTTCAGAAGAGGCAAACAGGTAGTTTAAACACACATATAATAATTATTATTGTCTCTTAGGTTTGGATGTTGATGGGATATACAGAGTAAGTGGCAACCTTGCAGTGATCCAGAAACTAAGGTTTGCAGTCAATCACGGTAAGATTATATTCCCTGTTGTTATTCAGATTCATAACTCTTTGAACTGGCTTAAAGTAATTTTTTACAATGTCCAATTCCTGCTGTCTTTCAGATGAGAAATTGGACTTGAACGACAGTAAATGGGAAGATATTCATGTCATTACTGGAGCACTCAAAATGTTTTTTCGAGAATTACCAGAACCTCTTTTTACATTTAATCATTTTAATGATTTTGTTAATGCAATTAGTAAGTATGTAATTCTATTCAGCTTTTTCTAGATACTGAAAATTCCTTGCACAGATTAAGCTACCCTATTTTTTGATCTTAACTTTAAGCAAGTATTTTCAAGTTTTATTGTGAACATTTTAAATGTGACCACCAGATGTCACTGTGTATTACCAAATATCAACTTCCAAACTGTCATTGCGTTGTTTCATAAGAATTTGCTGTAAAATATCTGCTTATTATCTTTTTTCAGAGCAAGAACCAAGACAGCGAGTCCCTGCTGTTAAGGACCTAATCAGACAGTTGCCAAAGCCAAACCAAGATACAATGCAGATTCTCTTCCGACATCTCAGAAGGTAGGAGGACTGCCCAGTCATGGGATGTGGTATAGCACAAGGGGAAGCGGGAAGGCCTGCGGGGGCAGGGTCACTCAGACCCAGGTTTGGATCCCAGCTATGATACTTGCTGTCTTTGTAACTTGAAAAAGGTACTCAACTCCTTTTAGTATCAGTCCATCATGGGTACAATGATTTGTTATGAAGAATACAATAAAGAAGATGTTATATGTGAAGTATTTATGTAATGCTAGTACATAGTAGGTGCTCAGGAATTGTTGCTAAAGTTAATATGAAGATGAGATTGGATATTAATTGAGGTGTATTATGTTATCCTATAATAAAGTCATCATGGTTCTGGGCTACTACATAGCTGCTTTAATAACTGAGTTATTTCATCAGATAGAAAGTACACTGGAATACTGAAACAAAAATTCCTAGCTAGAGAGATTTTTTTAAAAGAAGTAACATAAAATGAGTAAAATGGAAGTTCAATCTCCATACCCTAATAAGATTTTTTTCCCATCAGCTTAATGGGGCAATCATTGTTACCTGAATTATACTTAAATGTTATATTTTCAAAACTAAGCTAAAATATCACACATTTAAAAGTTTGTTGGAGTATACTTAATTACACCGCTCAGCTGTGTTTATCAAAAAGAAAGCTTTGCCTGGCATTTAGACAGAACTCTACTTGGTTAAATAGTTTATGTGTCACTTTAGGAAAATGACCATTACTTCTCTTTTTAAAATGTAAACTGTTAGGTATCTAATACCATTTGAAGAATTTTCCCTGTCTTTTATTTTCTCTTTTAACAACTTCTTTTTTTCCCCTCAGAGTTACAGAAAATGGAGAGAAAAATCGAATGACCTATCAGAGTATAGCAATTGTTTTTGGTCCCACTCTGTTAAAGCCAGAAAAAGAGACTGGTAATATAGCAGTTCATACTGTGTACCAAAATCAGATTGTAGAATTAATTCTTCTGGAGCTAAGTTCCATCTTCGGACGTTGATTCTTATGAAGACAACCTGTGGAATAGAAGCTGGATTCCATCAGATTTCAAATGTTTATACACAAACATATTTTATTTTTTGGACCAAGCAGTGACTCTTTGATTTTGCACTTTTTTTTTTTTTTTTTGAGGGATCAGAAGGGAAGGGGAGAGTCAAGATGTGTGTTAGGCCCTCAAATTTGCTGCTTTGTTGCAAGTTGATAGAGCTACATGTAATTACGAATTCATTTTATCCTGAATGTTTGCGTTTCATACTCTGAATTTCAGTAAAAGTCAAAACTTAAAATTCTAACCAGTCATATACACTGGATAATTTGGTAGGAAAACTTTTTTTTCCCTGAAATTGGATAATGTAGACTTTCTTCTCAAGATCTGTAGATGCATCACTTAATAGAACAATACTTACTATCAGTTATTTTGGAAATGCTCTTGAGCATTTTAAACAAAATGAAGTATATCCATTTTGAAACCTGTGTATTTCTGTTTCAGGGTTTCTGCATGCAGTGGCAGTCTAAGTGCCAAAATTCATTATAAACCCAAAATAACCCCTTGACGAAGGCTTGCTGTCTTTTGCTGTGTTACACAGCATCCTTACTGGATATCTTAGTTGCTTGTTTGGGCAGCACACTAATATTACTTAAAACACTGTGATATACTGGAGTTTTAGTTAGCTTAAGTCACTAAAGGGCATTTTTAGGGCTGTCTTGCTATACTGAATTGTAGCTAACAATCTTAATTATACCTAGTGCCATACTGAGTTCTTGGTATGACCCTGTGGAAACAGACATTATTTTATGTAAATATAGGCTAAAGACTTAATGTCCTTTAGCTTGTGTATATAATTGTGTTGTATAGTCTCAGAGTACATTCTAACCCTACATTTCTAATCATGATATTGGTTATCTTTTCTGTGAATATTAGGTTTCCTTCAGAAATAGGCCATTATTTGGGAAAGTTAACTGTGTGCACTTTTAGATATTAATTACATTTACAGGCAAATCACTGTAATGAGAATGGTACTGGAAAAATACTGAATAGACTTGCTAAATAGCACATGCACTACAAGAAGAACCTTTTAGGTTATTTAATATGTACAGAAAACAAAGAAAAATTTTATTACAGAACTCTAATTCCAGTATGAATAGTGGAAACCCATCTGTAAATTAGATGGTTGTTGGGTGGAAAATGACTTTGCTAAATTCAAGAATTTCTTTTTACCTACTAATGTAGATTGATTTGTATAATAAAACACAGGGTTTGGAAGGTTTTGTTACAGGGAGCATGGTCTGTTGAAGATTTTTAAAATGTATTTTTCTAGATTAACTGCTGTAAATGAAATGTCTAATAAAACTACAAGAGGCTTAGAGATTTTTCCATTGGAAATGTGCATTTTGCTTTTTAATTTTTTTGTTTTTTCATTCACTGGCATACTCTTATACCTCATTTTTAAAAATCAACTGAATCCAATATTCCCTGTGGCAAATACATGTTCCTCA